AAAAAAAAAATGACCTGTGATATTAGAACCAATAAAAGTTCACGTATATTTGGTGCATCTTTGGTACATAATACTAAATAAGAACATAAAGCTCTGTTAAGTACCATTTAATTCGCAAGAATTGCACTCTTAGTTGGACATGCACTTACCATATGGAATTGGAAAACGTTTTAGAAGGTAATATTCAACCACAGACATTGAAGAGGAAAACATCATAGCAAAGGTGGATGTCGCACTTGAAACCTGAACAGAAGTATAAATATCAGCCATCTTCTCCACCTCTCACATTTAACAGACAAGAAAATGACAAAATGTTCTTATGTTTAATGATGAAGGAAAGGAAAAAAATCTAAAATCTTTGGATGATTGTTCGAACATCAGGTTAAGTGATACCTTGATGCATGTACATATACCTAAAACATTGATTAACAAACTCACTAAGCCTTGTTCTGAATAAATTTAGGATCAACTCGACTTTTCTAGAAAAAGGAATTTGCTCAACATTATTCTAGAAAGATCTTGAACTCACCTGAGGTGGAACGCCTAATTCCAAAAATAGCAGACCCATGATAGATCCACCTCCCACACCTAGTAGGCCAGCTATCATACCAGCCAGTACGCCTAACAAGCAATAGGTTATCAATTGGTGAACTTTCAAGTTGGAGCATTCATCTCCCTTGGATGCAATTTTTTTCCATCCCTTGTACAGGCAAATTGATTCATAGCCAGATACACCAAGTGAGACGGGGATCTGTAGAGCAGAGCAGATAATGGTAACTTTAAATGCTCAAGAATAAGTATAACAAAAGCTTTAGCAAATCGTCGAATCGGCTGCATGTTTCCCAAAATGCACATAACTGTGTACACATACCTGTAGCAAGTTCAGTACCCAGTATATTGCTGAACATGTAGCTGTATAGTTCTGTTTCAATTTGATGATGAGTGAGTGAGTTTTAGAGATGCTGAATAGTTAAGAAATCCAACTGGAGGTTCTTAAAAGTAAAAAAGAAAATTGACAGGAAAGAAAAAAGTGAAAACCTTGATGATCTGTAGTGCAAGAAATGCCATCCAAACAAAGATAAGAAATCCAAGTTCCTTCCAACGAACATTCTCAAGGATACTGACCTGAGATTGGGAGTTGTTTCATATTTGAGAGAATGAGAGTTTTGGAAATTCAAACTAGAATGGAAATATATCATACCCTGGGTTTTGCCAAGCATTTGGCCTCATTTTCTCTGCTATTGCTAGGGCCTCCTGGAAGAAGCTTATACTCTGCTTTTTCTGTACCATTACCTGGCGGAACAGGATAAATGCATCCTATATTTTTAGCGGGGAAATTATGGGCCAAATAGAAAAAAGAAAAAGAAAAGGTGATCCTTCATTGCATGTTTTGTCCGTAGTATTATATTGTACTCGATACTACAATGAACAAAATCTTAGTTCCTTTTTCTTTCTGAATATTGTCGACTTCGAGTACTTTCTAATCCACTTTACCAAATGTGTGTTGACTCATTGAAGAAAGCTAAATGAACTCACCATCTGCCTCTAATCGCTTTGCAGCCTCCTGCAACAATATCAAAATTGGCATTTAATACAAAAGAGAAAGACGAGCTGTACCAAGAAGGACAAGAAGATCCAAAGAATATAAATATACATTGCACTTGGATTTTTCCACGACTTAATTAATTTGAACCCTCATCTATGATATTCAAACTACAAATGTGATTAACATAAGACATCAAAATGCCAACAAACTTCGTAAAAAAGTTGGGATGATTACCTTTTTAACAATGGTTTCTTTCTTCCATGTTTCAACTCCTCTGAAAAAGGCCTTAGTTGATGTGCCTGCGAGTGTCGTATCATATAAAAAAGAGGCACCGGAGCAGGATGCATAATAAAAGAATTGTAACACAAACATTAATTACCGATACAGAGAACAATTAACAGAAGAGTGACCATCCAATCAGCAAATATCACATTGAAAGCGACTCCGATGCTAATGCCTAGCATAAGCATGGGTTGGATGAGAACAGCCAAGTCATAGTCGATAATTGGAATGTCAATAGTAGGATGCTTGAGCTTAAGATTGTAGTAAACAGTCGAGACTGCAGTTCCCATGATCATACCTGTCAAATTAGAAATGGCATTTATTGACTCCATAAAACCGAATTTGAACCTTACCATTACAAGAATTTCAAGGCCGTTAAAAATAATTTTATATGCATAGTTTCTTCTTCCAGGATTACAAGGAGACTAAGAACTTCAGCTTTGGGACCGTGTGAAACTATATGCATAGATTCTTGGATTTGAATTAACTCAACGAACAAAGAACTTGGAATATCCAATCACGCTGTACAGAAACAAGATTAATGTTTAAACATTCCATGTTATATCAATACGATTTGTAACTCACATTTTGAAATAGCAGCTGACGATTTTGGATCAAATCCAATAACCAGAGTAAGCATGGGGACAAATATCCCACCACCACCAACGCCACTAACACTTCCAAAAGATGATCCAAAAAATCCAATTATGCTACCAACAACAATTTGCCAGTTGAATTTCAGATCCTGGAGACGATATACCAAATTGTCACGCATTACAAGCCTTCCTTAAAAGTAATCGTGTAAAAGCTTAACTCATCACAACCTTTCTCAAATAGTAGCAACACAAATTTATGAATGTACACCAACCCAGAATAAAAAAACACAAATGTATGATTCTCCCTGGCTTAAGGAAGTTCTGTCCTTATCGTATTCAAGGCCGACTATATGAACTATCTTTTCCACACACACACACAAACACTCAGAATCGGAGGTATGATCAATTCAACAAATCAGCCATTTCTTTGAGGTTTTCTAAAAGTTATTCTTCTCTGTTTTGTACAAAATCTTACTTTTCTTTGAGGTCATATGCATATCTCCATTAAGAAGTTCACATACCGGCATAATCTATGAACAAAATCCTACGGATTTACAAAGATCAATTCTGAAAAAATAAATAAATAAATAAAT